CACGTGAGTGTTTTGAAAACATCCGTAAATATAAAACCATTATTTATCGACAAAGCATTACGAAGCTTTGTGATGCAGGCGCAGTCTGGTTTTATACAGTTGGCATCATTTTTATCAAGTTGCTTTGTGAACGTTGCATTAAATTGCAATTACAAAACACTCATGTAACACCCATGTCTCGACCCTTTTAACATCTGCTGTTCAACCAGTGTTTTTCACTTCAGAACAATGTGTTCTTGTTTATTTTACACCATGAGGTCTATAAAACCGTCTGTTACTACACATAAGTATATACACTGCAAAATTACAACTGCAATAAATAATGTTATGAGCTTAATGTTTTAAATACATTTATGAATATACAAACAAGAAATGTTGGGGGGAAATGCATATTTTTCAACATTAAGCTGCCAGTAGGTGGCGGTAAGTCACTTAATGAGTGAGTCATTGACACAGAGGGCAACTGATGCTGAAAATACATCAAATTGACAGCAAAATTGAAGTAAAAAAACCGGTCAAATATGCAAATCAAACTGACATCAAAAATTTGATGAGTTGATTTAATGTTAATTGAATGCCATGTTTATTGGCCTATATATTAGTGCTGTCGAATGATTCATCGCGATTAAATGCACACAAAGCAGTTTTTGGTTGCATAACGTGAGTTCTGCGTATATTTATTATGTACACATAAATGCACATATATTTTCAAATATTTACATTCATATAATTTATAAATAAATATTTTTAATATATAAACGAACTACTTTTCTGAAATGTGACCCTGGAGCACAAAACGGGTCAGTTTCTTGAAATTGAGATTTATACATATCATTTTGCATGAAAGCTGAATAAATAATCTTTCCATTGATGTATGGTTTGTTAGGAGAGGACAATATTTGAAAATCTGGAATCTGAGGGTGCAAAAAAATCTAAATATTGAGAAAATCATCTTTAAAGTTGTTCAAATGAAGTTCTTAGCAATGCATATTACTAATCAAACATTAAGTTTTGATATATTTACGGTAGGACATTTACAAAATATCTTCATGGAACATGATCTTTACTTAATATCCTAATGATTTTTGGCATAAAAGAGAAATGTATAATTGTGACCCATACAATGTATTGTTGGCTATTGCTACAAATATCCCCCAGCGACTCAACACTGCTTTTGTGCTCCAGGGTCACAAATATCTAAAACTACCAGATAATATAAATGATTGTTGTGATCAGCAGTGTTTAAGTGGCACAGAAACAATAAAAGTGGCGGCATTACACTTGAACCCTAAACAGAACTGATA